AGCCGCTCGCCACTTCCCGAGCCACAGGAAGACCCAGCTCCCACACTCCCGGTACTGCAAATAGAGACAATGCCATCGCCTCCACTAACGGCCCAAGACATCGCCTTTGAAACCAAAAGAGACTCTTGTTTGGCACGAGTTCTTGGCTGGGTGGAGACGGGATGGCCAGATTATGACACTAAGGAAATGTTTAAGCCGTTTAAAAACAGACAAACGGAACTTTTTTCACAAAAAGGGTGCGTTTTGTGGGGAGACCGAGTTGTTGTACCAACTAAGTTACAAAAAGGGGTCTTGCAAATGCTACACGATGGACACCCGGGCATCGTGCATATGAAAGCGCTGGCAAGAACTTACGCCTGGTGACCAGGTATAGATAAACAAATCGAAACCTGGGTCGCCTCTTGTAACAAATGCCAGGAAAACCACTCAGCTCCACCTAAAGTCCCACCAACAGAATGGGAAACACCCAGGGGTCCTTGGTCTCGCATTCATATTGACTTTGCGGGACCTACGAGAGGCCACACCTTCTTAATAACTGTTGATGCCTACTCAAACTGGCTTGAGGTCAATAAAATGAAAGCAACCACTACTGAGGCGGTCATTAAAAAACTGAACAGTCTCTTCGCCACACACGGGTTACCAGATGTCCTGGTCTCTGACAATGGTCCCCAATTTACTGCCTTAGCCTTTGAACAGTATTTAGCGGAACGGGGCATCTGACACGCACTCACATCGCCGGCTCATCCTGCGGCGAATGGCCGGGCTGAACGAATGGTTCAGTTTACAAAGAAAACCCTACAGAAAATGGATCAAGGCAACATCCACGACAAAGTCACTAGAATGCTGCTCCTACAACACATCACACCAAACAGCACGACCAACAAGAGCCCAGCTGAACTCCTGATGGCCAGGAAACTCAGATCGCCTCTAGATCGTTTGCACCCTGCCTACCCCTGGGTTCCAGCAGCAAGCACCGTGTTTTCAAGGTAGGAAACCTTGTTTTCGCAAAAAAATTTTCTGGGGATCCCCTTTAGATACCTGCCCAGGTAACTCAAGTTACGGGCCCACGCTCCTACTGTCTACTCACCACTGATGGCAGAGCATGGAAACGCCATATTGACCAGCTGCGCTCCAGACTAACCACATCTTCCAACCCTGACCCTAACTTTGACACTAGGGGGGGAGGGGAAGCAGTGAACTCAGAATTAGAACCAACACCTGTTTATTCCGAGCTATCACCGAGATCACCGCACGATGGTTGGCAACACTCACCAGCTGCAACTGAGACTGGACAGTCGAACGCTTCGCCAGGAAGCAGCAACCAGGCAGGTTCAGCGAGCCCTGGGAACCATGACAGTAACAGCGAGGCTGAGGACTTCATCACCCCGGGGGCACCAGAGGAGAGCCCTAACCATGATACCGGTTCACTGTTCCTGTTTGATCCAGCAAGCAGTCCATCTGAACCCGGGTTTGAACAGGGTCAAGCGGAACTGCGTAAGTCAGGCAGACAGGTGCGAAGACCTGCTTACCTGCGAGACTATATTACTCCACCCCTTAAACGGAACCGAGAGGGGAGGGGTGTTCCGGACTAGCAGGCTCGTAGCCTGCAAACCTGATTGGCCCGCTGAAAGCCGATCGTGATTGGTCGCCATAGACTGATGCGATTGGCCAGTAAACGGGCTGCCGCGATTGGCCCTGCCAAGAGCGGCAAACTCAAATCGCCTTCATTGGCTGCCTAGCCGCAGCCAGCCCTATATAAGGGGCTGCTGCGGCTGGGGTTAGTTGCTCAGATCTGAAGTCACAAATAAAGAGCTTTAGTTACTATCTGAGTCTTGCCTCCGTTCTTGAACCGTCCTCCCAGATATAACACTTCCACTTCCAAAATTCCCCAGACAGCATCATTTAAGTTTGGTGGACTTCCACTCCCAGAACTCCCCAGCCAGTGTGATTTAACAGGAGTGGATTTTAACTCCCAGAATTCCCCAGTCAGTGAGATTAAAGTTGGGCGCACTTCCGCTCCCAGAATTCCCCAGCAAGCGTGATTTAAGTTGGGTGGACTTCCACTCCCAGAATTCCCCAGCCAATGTGATTTATGTTGGGTGGACTTCAACTCCCAGAATTCCATAGCTAGCATGATTTAAGATGAGTGGACTTCCACTCCCAGAATTCCCCAGTCAGTGAGATTTGCCTATTCTATTCTATATTCTATTCTATTTCTCTTCTGTTCTCTTCCATTCTATTCTATATTATTTCTCTTCTCTTCTCTTCTCTTCTCTTCTCTTCTCTTCTCTTCTCTTCTCTTCTCTTCTCTTCTCTTCTCTTCTCTTCTCTTCCCTTCCCTTCCCTTCCCTTCCCTTCTCTTCTCTTCTATTTCTCTTCTGTTCTCTTCCATTCTATTCGATATTTTTTTCTCTTCTCTTCTATATTCTCTTCTATTTATATTCTCTTCCATTCCATTCTATTGTATATTATTTATATTCTATTCTATATTCTATTCTATTTATATTCTATTCTATATTATTTATATTCTATTCTATTTATATTCTATTCTATATTATTTATATTCTATTCTATATTCTATTCTATATTTATATTCTATTCTATATTCTATTCTATTTATATTCTATTCTATATTATTTATATTCTATATTCTCGTCTATTTCTCTTCTCTTCCATTCTCTTCTATTCTATATTATTTCTATTCTCTTCTATTCTATTTCTCTTCTCTTCTAATTTCTCTTCTCTTCTATTTTATTCTCTTCTATATTCTCTTCTATATTATTTCTATTCTATTCTATATAAACCTAATCTGCATATCAAAGGAGAAGGTCTGTAAACAAATGGAGTTCATGAAAACGAGGAAAAAAAAGAGTAAAATTAAACACCGTAGATAACATGTACGGAGAGTCCTCTGTTTCCGATCACAATCCAGCCCCAAATTTCTGTCGCTAAGTGAGACAATGAGGTTTTGCCCAGTTTTATGGCCTTTCTTGTCACAGTTGTTAAGTGAATCGCTGCACTTGTTGAGCTAATCACATGGTCGTTAAGTGAATCAGCTTCCCCATTGAGTTTGCTTTGTCGTTAAGGTTGCAAAAGGGGGATTGCGTGACTCCAGGATACTGCCACCATCATAAATATGAGTCAGTGGCCAGCTGAATTTTGATCACATGACCACAGGGTACTCCAACCCTCTTAAGGCTGAACAACAGCCTTAAGCCCCTTTTTCCAGCTGCCATCGCAACTTGGAACAGTCACTAAATGAAGTGTTGTAAGTCGAGGACTTCCTGACAGTGAGAACCATAAACCCATGGAACAGAAGTTGCCTTTGGAAGTTGTGGGAGCTTTCAAGAAGAGACTGGACTTCCATCTGTCAGAAATGGTGTATGTAGTATGGTCTCCTGCCTGGGCAGGAGGGTTGGACTAGATGACCTACAAGGTCCCTTCCAACTCTGTTCATCTGTTAAGGATGTTGTTGTTGACGGAGGTTGTGGGAGCTTCATCCCTGGAGGCTTTCAAGAAGAGACTGGACTGCCCTCTGTCAGAAATGGTGTAGGGTCTCCTGCCTAGGGGGGTGGGGGAGGTTGGACTAGATGACCTCCAAGGTCCCTTCCAACTCTGTTCATCTGCCTATACCCACACCCCCTCATGGCCCCTCAAATGTCACCCCTAGAATCAGCACATACATACCTCCAAAGCCAGGAGAAGCTCCCCTATACAATTTTCTCTCTGCAAACCCCCTCCTTTTTTTTTTCTCCTTTCCTGACTGTGGTGTGAATTATCTCATTTTTATTTCATTTTTTTGCTGGAGTTAGAACCACAAATTATTCCTTTGGACAGCAGTGAGAGGGAGGAAGAGGAAGGGAGGAGGAAGGCTGAGACCTCCCCATCCCATCTTTCTCTCTTAATGGGGAGGGGGTCTTCTTCACCCATTGTGGGCTCATGGGCTGCCATCCTGGCTGGGCCTGCCACCCTTTGGCCAGGAAAGGGTGAATTGGGGCAGTGGGGGGGGGCTCCCTGGCAGGCAGCCAAGCTCTGCAGAGCCGGGGGCCACCTAAAGTCATGCAGAAGAGCCTCCCTCCTTCCTCCTGCAGGCTGCCATCCAGCCACACCGTGGCTGAGCTGAGCTTAGCCAAGACCCAGCTGGCTGGCACCTACAGGAAGGAGAAGCTGGGAGGGAACTAGCTGGCAGCATGGATCCCGTTTGCCATTGCCCAGGCGTTGGTGCCATCTGGGCAGCGAAACCTTGTAGCTTTTGCCAGCGCCTTCTATGGCTCATCCTCCCACCAACCTTGTCCAGGCATCCCTTTTTTGTCCCTGCGCACCCTAATTTTGAACACGTGCCAGCCTTCTCTACAAAGGCTTAGCACTCTGCCCACCGCCATCCTGACTTCTTCAGTGGGGTAATTTCTCCCCCCCAACATCCACCGCCCTTCTCCTGCTTGAACAGGTCGCTGGACAAGAAGACCTCCAAGGTCCCTTCTAGCTCATTCTATTCTCTATTCCATTCTATTCTATTCTCTCTTCTATTTCTCTTCTAATTTCTATTCTCTTCTATATTATTTCTATAATATTCTATTCAGGGGTGGGTTTCTACCAGTTCTGACCACCTCTGTAGAACCGGTAGCTCTGAAGAGCAGCAGACATAGAACCGGTTCTATGTCTGCTGAAGTTTTTGCCCACCCGCCCACCTGGTCTCTTACCTGATCTTTATTTCCTGATTTTTCAACTTCAGCTGCCGAACGAGACACAGTGGGTCACCATGGCTTCCCACTTTTGGGATGTGCCAACTCCTGCCTGCACATCCATCAGTGTGGGAGGGGGGGTTGTGGGGGGGCGCATTTCTGCACCAAGCTGAGGCTGCAGAAAACCGTGATGGACATCTCTCCCCTCCCCCAGGACACTCTCCTTCTCCCCCACCCACCCCCACCAGAATTTGCAACCTCCCAAAGCTTGAGACAAAAACCCTTTTTGGGATGGGGGGTGTTAGGAATATGGGTCACCTAACAGCTATTTGGGTTAGAAATATATATAAACCAGGATAAACATTTTAAAACTGTATCTTTAAGAAAATGCAAAACTGTAATTAGGTGTGGTTTCTCAAACGGCCATAAGATGGAGCCAGAAACCTGGTTTGTTTAGTCTGAGTCTCAGAAGAGAGTGTGAGTGTATCTCTGTTTCCTTCTGTTGGAAAGTATTGCCGTTGCTCCATTTCTTCTAATTGACTGATATTACTGGATTTAATGTAAGTCTGATACTGAACTGTTTTTGACACTGGACTTTGATATTTGGATTATCCCTGGATTGAAAACTGACTGATTTTACCTGTGAATGACTTTGGACTGCTTATTTTGGACTTTGCTTAAACTTTCTGGAAGTAAAAACCTACATTTACTGTACAGTGTATCTGTGTGCTCTGTGTGTATTATTCCAACACTACTCTCAAATACGTCTCCCTGTATGCGCTCATTCTCCTAATGGGGAATTACATCAACAGGGGGCAACAGCACCAGCAGACGGGTTGCGCCCCCCCCTTGGAAAAAAAGAGGGACATGGTTTTCCAGTTTTTCAAGTTCGGCCCCTCTTTTTCACAGGGAGTCCCTAAAAATAAAACTGGCAGCCCCCCCTTCTCCCCTCTCCCCCCCACCACCAAAATGGGTCCATCTTAGACCCTATCCTGAAGCTGAATTTGCAAAGGTTTGCAAAAGAAATATCTGTGAGGGGGTCTTGGGTGGTCCTCTGAGCTGGGTGGTTTTCCTGCAGATGTTTCATGACCCAACTAGGTAACATCATCAGTGCTAGAAGAGAGGAGGGTTGTGGAGAGGAGGAAGAGGAAGAGGAAGAGGAGGAGGAGGAGGAGGAAGAGGAAGAGGAGGAGGAAGAAGAAGACGCAATATGTTCGGAGCTGCAGCTTCTTGTGATTAAATAGCTCTTGACTGTGGTCTGTGTTTTTCCTGGCTATTCCTAATGTATTTTATTAACATTTTCCTTATGGTTTTATGTGTCTTCTTTATGTTCCCTTCCGACACTTCTACTACACATAACATCAGGAACAAGAGCTGTTTGACCCAGGCAGTTCCTGGCAACCATGAGAACAACTGGTCTGTCCCCAATGATCTCTGTCCAATCTGGAATGCTCTGTCTTGCAAGTCCTTTGCAGCTTCCCTGACCACTCCCGATTTATTCATATAGAAATAGCATTCTTCTCCTAAAAACAAACATAAACCACCTTTTTCAGCTGTCAGGAGGTACAGGCCCCGTCGATTTTGCAGGACTACTGCTGCCAAGGAGTCTATCTGGCCTTGCACTTTGACTAAAGTCCAGGCGATCTGACCTAGACTATGTTGGGTTGTATTCATCATTCCAGACCACCAAAGTCCCTGCCAGAAACATGCCAGTTAGTGGCTGGAGTAGAGGTTCTTCATGTCCCTGGGTGTTGTCAATGATAAAGGGAACTCCAGGCTCCAGGAAATAGCAGGAGCTCTCATTTCCAAAGGGAAAGGGAACACAGTCTGAGCTCACTGTGTTGCTGCTTAGCCAAAAGTGGGAATTTGGGTGCTGCAGACTTACTTTTGCATAGTCCCTTTGTGGAGTTGCCTCTCTGTTTGGTAATGTGCAGCTGCAGCTGAGCAGAGAAAAATGACTTCGTTTCTGTAGAGGTTGTATGTGGAAGGGGAAATATTTTGGGTAATTTGGACTGCCTCATGCTTTTTCTGAGGAGGACTTATGGTCAATTCCATTTGGCACTCCTGCCAGTGGTCTCCCATCCGTTCCCCCATCAGAGTGCCCTCCCAGGGGTCCTGACTCCTTTTGACGCATAAGGGAGGTGGCCCCAGAAGGCATACGTGTTATATGTACAGAATAACCCTTGAGTAACAAGGATATGCACATGGAAACATTTATGAGAGTAGTTATTAATAATTATTCAGCCACATATAGATACACTAAATTGAGTTAAAGTTTACTTTAAGAAATAGCTCAGTCCAATAAAGGGTCCAGGTCATATATGTTTTTCAGTCCAAAGAATATCCAATTACAAAGTCTTCTTACCAGTTGCCTTTGTCATTTACAGTAAACAAAAATATCAAAGTATAAGCACAGCATAAATACAACAGAGAACCTTAGATAGCAACAGAATGTCAGAGAGACAGAATGTCAGAGAGAGCAAGCTATGACCTCTAGCTCCCTCTTATGGTAATTTGTAATATACTTAACCAATCGGAATATAGTATAAATCAATACAGTGATTTTTTCTTAAAGCTACAAACATACATTGTTGGTTTATATATTACCAACCCAACTAATTGGTGGACAGATTCCTAACAGTTACTACCTGCCTAGCTCTTAGCTTCCAGGGTGTGTGAGGCCAAATTGAGGTTAGCCAGTGTGCAATCCAGGCTATTTAGTATTTTTAAAGTTACACACAATGAGCCCTGGGACTTCTACTCATGAGACCACCAGTGTAACATGTCCTGCTTTACTGGGCAACTGGGCAGCATCATTTGTGAGTCACAGTCAGGTCCTGGGGTTTGGAGATCTCTTTTCTGTTATCTCCTCAGGAATTGCCTGAGGGAGATGCCCCCTCCCCCATGGAATTAGCAGGGAGTTTTGCTTGGGCCTTAATGCCACAGAGCAGGAAAAAAAAACAATAAACACAAAAAAGGAAGCTAGGAGCAGCAAAAAGGGAGCTAGGAGCAGCTTTGTGTGGAGGTAGGTGAAAGGGATCTAATTCTGAATGGTCTGTCTGTGTATGTGCTTGTGTATGCAGCTAGTTTTACAATACAGATAATACAAACATGCTGGACAATTTTCCTTCCCCCCAGGCAGAAGTCCAAGGTGTGCAGAACTTGTTGGGCCACCCACTCAAATACAGTCCTGACATGAATACATTAGACTGATTACAATATGAATGATACAAAACAGAAAACATTACAATGGATTTCACATTACAATGACTTTCAAATTACAATGAATTTCCACCCTCCCCCCATATTCTTTCTAATTGTCTTCTGGGAATTGAAAAGAGTCTTTTAGTCTTTTACTGGTCTTTCTCAGGGTCCTTTCCTTCATGTCTCTGGTGGTATGGGTGGTCAGTCAGGCTTGGGAAGGTCTGCCCCACTCTGGTTTGCTGAAATGACTTTCAGTGGATGCTGGATCCAAACCCAATTCATGGCTCTATGAATGGAATGTCTCTAAGGAGTAGCATCTGCTTCCACATGTTGCAGGGCTGAAAGACAAAGAACAAAGGCCCCCTCCCCACTTCACTGGTAATTCTACCAGGAAAGGCTTTGTAAAAGGATTAGAGATGGTGTGTGTGTGTAGATAGCTTGCAGGCATGATTTGAGGAGGAAGAAAAATAACACATCAGTATTGCAGTTACTAAACAGATAAATCAATTTCAACAAAATGGAGACGCAACCAATGAGAAAGGAAAAAACTGGATTCACATGCTTCAGGAAAAGGATGAACAGGTAAAATCATTTAAACACACAGTAAATGCAAGGATGAAACTTTTCTTGTAAATGAACTTAAAACATTCGTTAATAACCTTGGGTTTTCTTAAAAGCACAGAGAGGAAAGAAAATTGAACTCTGTTCCTCATCCAGTCTAGTTTGGCCTGACCAGACTGGGAGAGGACATTTTCTTTTCCTCTCAATGTCTCTAACTCTTAATAATTTAAAATTAATATCTGAAGGGATCAGAACACTTAACAGTTGCAACAGTTACCTCGAGGACACACAAAGACTTAGACACACAAACACACACACACACACACACACACACATAAGGACACAGAGAGGAAAACAAAACTCTGAGGTTTACACACACACACTGATCATTCCCACAATAAATCTCAGTTAAATTGGGGAAGGCATAAAACTTAAGGAACAAACCACATGATTACATAGAAGACAAGAGAAAGAGACACAGAAAGAATTTTTAAAAATCCCATGTGATCCTGTTTTATATATTGCCCTTTTAAGTACCTTTACTTAGCCAAATTGGTCTTCCTGTATCCCTCAGCAAAGCACATTCTCTACATACACATTTTGCTTTCTTCTTTTTCATCCCAGCCAGGACTGGCATCTGTTTTTCGTCCCATGCCTCAAGCAAATTTTCTAAAGGGGTATCTACCACCCTTGAGCTGCACTTCCTGTTAGATCTGGGAGGATGGTTCAAGAACGGAGGCAAGACTCAGATAGCAACAACAGCTCTTTATTAGTGACTTCAAATCTGAGCAACTAATCCCAGCCTCAGCAGCCCCTTATATAGGGCTGGCTGCGTCTAGGAAGCCAATGAAGGCGATTTGAGTTTGCCGCTCTTGGCAGGGCCAATCGCGGCAGCCCGTTTACTGGCCAATCGCATCAGTCTATGGCGACCAATCATGATCGGCTATCAGCGGGCCAATCAGGTTTGCAGGCTTCGAGCCTGCTAGTCCGGAACACCCCTCCCCTCTCGGTTGCGTTTAAGGGGTGGAGTAATATAGTCTCGCAGGTAGGCAGGTCTTCGCACCTGTCTACCTGACTTATGCAATTCCAATTGTCCCTGTTCAAATCCGGGTTCAGATGGACTGCTTGCTGGATCAAACAGGAACGGTGAACCGGTGCCATGGTCAGGGCTCTCCTCTGGTGCCCCCGGGGTGATAGAGTCCTCAGCTTCATTGCTACTGCCATGGCTCCCCGGGCTCGCTGAACCTGCCTGGCTGCTGTTTCTTGGCGAAGCGTTCGTCTGTCCAGGCTCAGCTGCAGCTGGTGAGTGTTGCAAACCATGGTGCGGTGATCTCGGTGTTAGTTCAGAATAAACAGGTGTTGGTTCTAATTCTGAGTTCACGGCTTCCCCTCCCCCCCTGGTGTCAAAGTTCGGGTCAGGGTTGGAAGATGTGGTTAGTCTGGAGCGCAGCTGGTCAATATGGCGTTTCCATGCTCTGCCATCAGTGGTGAGTAGACAGTAGGAGCGTGGGCCCGTAACTTGAGTTACCTGGGCAGGTATCTAAAGGGGATCCCCAGAAAATTTTTTTGCGAAAACAAGGTTTCCTACCTTGAAAACACGGTGCTTGCTGCTGGAACCCAGGGGTAGGCAGGGTGCAAACGATCTAGAGGCGATCTGAGTTTCCTGGCCATCAGGAGTTCAGCTGGGCTCTTGTTGGTCGTGCTGTTTGGTGTGATGTATTGCAGGAGCAGCATTCTAGTGACTTTGTCATGGATGTTACCTTGTTCCATTTTCTGCAGGGTTTTCTTTGTAAACTGAACCATTCGTTCAGCCCGGCCATTCGCCGCAGGATGAGCCGGCGATGTGAGTGCGTGTCAGATGCCCCGTTCCGCTAAATACTGTTCAAAGGCTAAGGCAGTAAATTGGAGACCATTGTCAGAGACCAGGACATCTGGTAACCCGTGTGTGGCGAAGAGTCTGTTCAGTTTTTTGATGACTGCCTCAGTAGTGGTTGCTTTCATTTTATTGACCTCAAGCCAGTTAGAATATGCATCTACGGTTATTAAGAAAATGTGGCCTCTCGTAGGTCCCACAAAGTCAATATGAATGCGAGACCAGGGACCCCTGGGTGTTTTCCATTCTGCTGGTGGAGCTTTTGGTGGGGCTGAGTGGTTTTCCTGGCATCTGTTACAAGAGGCGACCCAGGTTTCGATTTGTTTGTCCATACCTGGTCACCAGGCGTAAGTTCTTGCCAGCACTTTCATACGCACGATGCCCGGGTGTCCATCATGTAGCATTTGCAAAACCCTTTTTTGTAACTTAGTTGGTACAACAACTCGGTCTCCCCAGGCGATGGCATTGTCTCTATTTGCAGTACCGGGAGTGTGGGAGCTGGGTCTTCCTGTGGCTCGGGAAGTGGCGAGCAGCTCAAGGCATCTGCGTGAGGAAAAGATTTCCCCGGGCGATACTTTAATTGATAGTCGTAGGCAGCGAGAAATTCTGACCATCGCGTCATTCTGGGGGAGAGAATGTGTGGAGTAGGTTTGTCGCCCGCCAGAATCCCAAGTAGTGGCTTATGATCCGTTATAATAGAAAATGGTCTCCCATAAACATATTCATGAAATCTTTTAATTGCAGAGACAATAGCAAGGGCTTCTTTATCTAAATGGCTATAGTTTCTTTCTGTTTTTGATAAGAGTTCTTGAAAAAAAATGCAATTGGTGCCTCTGAGCCATTTGGTAGGACGTGGCTCAGGATGGCCCCTACCCCAAATGGTGAGGCATCACAAGTGACAGTCAAAGGTAGTGTCTCGTTATACTGAATTAGTACTGCATTAGAGGTAAGGAGGTCTTTTACTTGCTGGAAGGCGTGTTCCTCCCGACATCCCCAAGTCCAGGATGCCCTTTTATCGAGTAATCTATGAAGGGGCTCAGCAACAGTTGCATTCTGGGGTAGGAAGATGTTATAAAAGTTAATAAGTCCCAGGAAGGCTTGGAGGTCAGTTTTGTTTTTGGGTCTTGGGGCATTTTTGATAGCTGCCAATTTCTTTTCTGTGGGGTGGATTCCTTGCTTGTCAAGGAGGTAGCCAAGAAACTCCACCCTTTCTGTGCAAAGCTGGCACTTTTCCTTCTTAACCTTGAGGCCAGCATCTTTGAACCTCTGTAGGACTGTTCTGAGGCGTTTCTCTAATTGGTTTTTTGTGGGTGCTGCTATTAATACGTCATCAAAATAGGGCACGACCCCTTTTATACCTTGTAGTAGTCTCTCCATCAGGCTTTGAAAGATGCCTGGGGCTACGCTTACACCAAACTGGAGCCTGTTGCATTTGAATGCACCACGATGTGTGACTATAGTTTGGGCTTCTGCAGTCTCGGGATGAACTGGCAGCTGTTGATACGCTTGGGCCAGATCTAATTTTGCGAATATTTTGCCACCCCCAAGTGAATGCAGGAGATGTTGAACAACTGGTACTGGGTAGGCGCTCTGCTGTAGCGTGTGATTGAGGGTGGCCTTGTAGTCACCGCAGATTCTTATGGACCCATCAGGCTTTATGGGGGTGACAATTGGTGTCTCCCATCGGGCATGGTCAATAGGTTCTAACACGCCTTGTGCAATTAATTTGTCCAGTTGCTCGTCAATTTTGGATTTGAGAGCAAAGGGAACTCGGCGTGGCTTTAGGCGAATGGTTGCAATGTTGGGGCGAAGATTAAATGAAATAGGGGACCCCTTGTACTTGCCTAGGCTTTCGTTGAACACTTCTCAGAAGTCGTGGACGAGAGCCGCCTCCCAGTCATCGTCTTCAGTATGATGGATGCCAGCCATTCTGATTCCTAATGGCGCAAACCACTGAAGGCCCAATAGACTTGGCCGGTCTCTGTCTACGATGGTGAGTGGTAGAATTGCATCATGTCCCTTGAAAGAGACCTGGACATGGTGGGTACCTGCGACTGGAATCTGGTTGCCTTGATAGTCTTTCAGTATGAGTCTCTGACTGCTGAGGTCTTGGCGTCGGATGTTGGGAATTAGCTGCTTGAGTGTTCTCCAGGATACCATGGATAGTGATGACCCAGAGTCGACTTCCATGATGCACGGTTTGTTTTCAATCGTGACCTTTACTCAGATTTTTTTAGCGTCAAGTGATGAAGTGTGGCCGATGGGGATGGTTTGATGAGCCTCCTCTCATCTGGGTGTGTCGTTAAACCTTCGGGGTCTGCTGTACTGGTTCCACTGGTTGCTAGGGCGGTCCCTCTGTGTAGTGGAGTTGCCATCGTTTCTCTTTGGGCTGCTCCCTCTCCATCTGGGGCTGGAATTTCTCTCGTTTCTGCATACCTTCGCGATGTGCCCTTGTTTCTCGCAAAAACGACACATGGTGTCTAAGAATCTGCATTCGGATCGAGGATGGTTTCCCCCGCATCCGACGCATTGGTAGTTGGGTTTATAACCCCGCTGGTCCTGTTGCTCACGTTCAGACCGGAGCCTGTGGACTTCTTCTTCCTCGCTGTCTGAGGATGACTCGACATCTTCATGATGGGTGGTCGATGTGTACTTGTCTGAAGGTTTCCCAGTATCGTTGGTGGGTTGGCGGTTGGTTCCGCTGGTTCGACGCATTCATGCTGCTGATTTACGAGTAGCTTCAGCTGCGCTGGCGTCTGCTATGGCATCTGCAAGTGAGATGTCTCCCTTGGCCATGATCTTGCTCTGGACAGTTGGGTCTCTGAGGCCAAGGACGATGCGGTCTCTCATGGCTTCTTCGAGGTTGGCGAAGCCACATAAACCGCCCAGGTTCCTCAGGTCTGCCACAAAATCCCCAATGCTCTCACCTTCATGCTGGTCCCTCTGGTAGAACTCGTGTCTGCAAATGAGAGTTGGCACGGCTGGGGCATAATGGTTGCGCAGGATGGGAGCAAGGGTGTCCCAATCCATGGTTTTAACCTCAGCTGGCTTTGCTAAGGTTTTAGCCATCTTAAAAACGGCTGGCCCACAATGGGTTAGAAAAACAGCTCGTTTCTTGCTAGGCGTGGCATCTTTGAGGTTGTTGGACTCCAGGAACATTTGAAATCTGTCCATATATGAGTCCCAGTCTTCGCTAGCTGGATTGAATGGTGCGGGTGGTATAGCGCTGCTGGCCATGTCGCCGTCGTTGCGCTCTGTCAGCCACGTGCTCCTTCAGCTAGCTCAAATCAATAGACTTTGTTGCCTCCGCATCCCATGCTCGTCGCCAGTGTTAGATCTGGGAGGATGGTTCAAAAACGGAGGCAAGACTCAGATAGCAACAACAGCTCTTTATTTGTGACTTCAGATCTGAGCAACTAATCCCAGCTGCAGCAGCCCCTTATATAGGGCTGGCTGCGTCTAGGCAGCCAATGAAGGCTATTTGAGTTTGCCGCTCTTGGCAGGGCCAATCGCGGCAGCCCGTTTACTGGCCAATCACATCAGTCTATGGCGACCAATCACGATCAGCTATCAGCGGGCCAATCAGGTTTGCAGGCTTTGAGCCTGCTAGTCCGGAACACTTCCCATGTTTCCCCTTCTGATGTGGGGTGTGACACTTCGTTTGCAGCCGGGTACATGTCAGTTTTCAGAAAAAATGTCTGAAGAGGACTCTGGT